GTGATCAGCTGTAAAACAAGAGATCTCTGTAATATTTTTCTAACGCAGAGTGAACAGCAGCCAACTTCCCATAGAGAAGGAGGAGGATTTTCTCAAACTAATTTTATTTCCTTATCTTTAGTCATCTGCTGAAAAGAAAACACTAAATATATTCCTCAGTCTACTCCTTCCAGTGATAGCTCGAAGGAGTAAAGAACCATATGCTCCTTCAGCTGATCCATACTGTCTCCATGACAATGCAGTTTACAAAGTTTGTTCCTGACAGCTCTGTAGTACGTGCTTCAGCTGCTCACATTCTGGGGCATGAGGATGGCTGGCAGCGGTGGCACTGGTGGCTGCCACTGCAGTGCTTGGGCATGCCCACCAGTGGCTCTGGTCAAGCAGTGCTTCTGCCCAAACCTCCCAGCCCCATCACCAGAGCCCACCAGCGAGCTCCAGCTCCAGTGGTGCAGCTCAGCCTGTGGCACCGTCTGGAAGCTGATGCAGCCAGTCCCTCCAAATTCCTTACGAGCTTTCATATGTTCAATGCCTTAAAAGGAGAAAGGTTTTCACCTCATTTTAGCCAATCAGAAAAATCTCGGTGAATTTACACAGAAGGAAAAAAATGTGTTCTCCTCATTAAAGTGCTCTTGGCCTTCGGGCAAGGTGAATCTCCTGGATCCTCCCAGGAGCACAGCAGAGACAGAGCTGGAGCTGTGCCACATCTTTCCTCTATACTCCTCCAATCCCTTCGCATCCCTATTTCATTTACAACGTACCACACAGTGCATAGAGAATGGACTTTACCTCCAGCCAGCCCAGGCAGGACACTCAACTTACTGACTGCTGTGCTGGACAAGATACCTTATTCTATGATGTAACAGAACAGAAGCATTCAGGAACAGGCTGTGCCTGAGCTGCAGGCCATCAATTGGCAGCCTCCACCTCAACAAGTGCAGAAAGACATGATATTGTTATTTTCAGAGCCTGTGTATTTCACTATTCCCCAATCAGCACAATAGCTGTCAGCACTCCTGTTTTGAATTTCACACACTTGTTTGATCAGAAACCAACAGAAATACATAACTGGCTGTGGTGGAGCATGAGATTCAGTTCTTTCTTATGAAGGAGTTACCCAATTTGTGTGTCACAGATCAGGTTGTCTCCATGCAATCATTTCTAAAAGCAACCACAGTACATATTTAAGAGCAGAAATAAAAACTTCAGCTGGCTAAGACTGAAAAAAGAAAATAAATATATATATATCTATACACACGCATACACACACACACATGTATGTATGTATGTGTATATATATATATACACACACATAAATACGCATAAGCCTGACACTCATTTGAATGGTCAGGGTGAAACATTTAAAAAATAATTAAATTTTAAAATCTCTAATCTACCTCCATCGCTATAGAATGGCCTACACAGCTGAATTCCCATAGGTTTGCCAGCTGTTTTGAGTTCTACCAGCCAGGCACTCAGCAGCAAGAAGCTTAATCATGCTAGAGGGTTCCCCACCTGCAATCCCTGCTGCCCCTTGGAGCACGGAGCCCAGCAAGGACCCTAGGGCTTGGGAGAAACACTGTTCACTCCTTCAGAGTGGCCAGGCCTGGGACACAGCTCACAAGATGTCTCAGCATTCCTTTGACGTATACGGATATATGCCAAGTTCTAATTATGCTTGACTGTCTTCTAGAAATTCAGGCTTCTTTTTCCCCCCCTCCTCCTTGAATATGCCAGATCTCTCCTGAATTCTATTTATGGGCTGAAAAATGAAGGCTTGTCTAATTAGAGATGATTCTCCTCTTATTCCTTCACCCCCTATACCAGGAGCTGAGACAACTTCAGCCAAAGAGGACTGGCATCTAGACTAGTTCCTAGCATTATACAGTGGAGGGATGTGCACTGCACAGGAACAAGCTTCCACAGAGAATGAAGACAGCTTGGAGTCACAACTTCCTTTCAAGCCTATGAAACCCATGGTTTTCTAGAGACTTGGCCCCCAGCACAAAATACCCCTCTTTGGGGGTTGGGGAGTGGAAGGGGGGGGGGGGGTGGAAATAAAGAGCAAGGGCTCTGCTAATCTCTCCATTTAGCAGGAAAGAGCACAGGACCCAGCACGCCACATGCTTTGGAGGCACAACTCAAAGTTATTTGGTGCCTTTGGAGGCTCCCCAGGGACTGCCAACATAAAAGATTAAACTTGCATGCCCATATATCAAACAAACGCTGTCTATTAAGAAGTTGAACGGTGGAAACACTTTCCAGACACAAAAGCCTTTTCTATGGGAACTGCTACTCTGTAGGATGTCAGACACATAATGCTGATGCCATAAGTGTCACTTTCCAGTAGTTTCATTCAGAAAATATATGATGGATGTCTAGAAAAGCCAATGAAATATATATTCCTTTTAATTATCCTTATCCATGCCGCTTTCTCCAGGGCTTTGAGGAACATACTTGAGGAGGATCTTTGAAGACTCGTACAAAACCAATCTCTTTGGCTTTGAGGGCTGGGGAAAAAAATCACAAAACTCACCATATCTCACCAGAGGGAAAGAATGGAATTCAGCCCTGGGAGATAATACTTGCACGTGCCTGGCACTGCCCTGGCTGGCGGTGTAGGGACAGGCATGACCCAGGGGCTTATCAGGCATCTTTCCCAGAAAAGAACCCAGCCCAGGGCCTGGCAAAAAAAAAAACAAAAAAAAACAAAAACAAACAAACAAAAGACTTTCAGAACACATATGAGAGTTGCTCGCTCCTTGTTGGATAGTTCATATCAGATGCCCACAAATACATGACAAGGGACAACAACAATCCTGAAGACTTCAAAGTTTGGAGAAGCGATTTGGACAAAGCAAATACTAGCATCCTCATTCTGCAGGGAGATTAATTGGTTTTATTTAACTGCCTCTGGCTCTCTTCAGTCAATAGGGAGAGTTATATACCTCCAGTGGATGATCCAAATCAAGTGGGATTGAAAACCCTGGACTTATACCTTTGCAAATCTTTAGACTGCTATGGGCTTCTTGGTTTAGCTCTGTTCATTAAATTAATGGCTATCAAGCTTGAGTCACTGGTTCAGAGCTCACCAATGCTGGACTGAAAGCGATAATGAGTGCCTGGAGGAGAACTTGAGACCCTCCTGGAAAACCAGGTCAAGACCCCTACAGAAGCAACAACCCCCCCTTTTTGCTATATTACTTTCATATTTTATGGTCACCAAGAATGTTTTTCCCGCCCTCTTGTTATGCTAGTGCCTGGAGTGGGCTGTTTGTCCCCCCAGCAGAAAATAAAGAGTCACAGCAGCACCAGAGGGTGTGGGGGCAGATGCTTTTTGGGCATCAGAACTGGCAGTTTTTAGAGCCTCCAAATGAGTAGGCAACTGTGCTGAGGCTCTTTCTCCCACCACAAATCACGAAGCCAAATATCTCAGCTGCACGGCATGTCTGCAGGAGCTCCTCCTCCAGTACTGGCTTGTGTGGGAAGGGCTCTGCTGGCACACAGCTCATCTGAACACTTGCGTGCCTGTGGACAAAATTAAGGCAAGCCTCTGTGCACATTCAATATACATGGGCAAAGCCCTCCTTAGAGCCTGCCTGGCTTCACAAGAGCAACCTGAAGCACTCTGAGCATTGGGGCTACATGCAACCAGCCAACTTTGGATACCAATGCTTGGGAAGTTCCATGCAGGAGCAGGAAGACATGGGGATTGGGGCACCAGAGAGCAGAAGTTTCTTTTTTTTCCTCCTCAGAAGGAAAAAAAAATTGGCTAAAGGCAGTAGAAACAGATGTACTTATGTATCCCATACACTATAAAAGAAAAGCCCTTCCAGCAAAGCAGATGGGTTTAAGTGCCATTTAAAGCAACTTCTGCTTCACCCAAGGAAGCCTCACACAAGCTTTACATGTGGGTTACACAAGTATTTTAAACAAAAAGTCTCTGGCTACAAATCTCTAACATCACATGAAGCTTTCCTTGATGAAAGCTCATCAAGTGGAACCAAGGAAAACAGCCCCAACACCCCCAAACCTCAAACAGTACCCTTGACTTCAAGCTTCGTGGGAGCAGAACGCAGTTCTGCAGTGATGCTGCTTCCTCTTCGGCTCACATCTTCTGATACCCTAGCCCCGGAGGAACATTTTTAGGAACACTTAACAGCATGGGTTCATTCTCCTCAATCGAGAGAATCATTGTGCATATACGAGGTGAAGAAAATTCCACAAATGAGCCACCACCCAAACAGATGTTGTCATGATAGATGTCATGCCTATGAACTTTTCAGTGGACAGAGTTGAGCCACAGGTTTGGCAGTAGTCTCACGTACCTTGCTCCATATTAATTTTCCTCAAGGATGAGAAGAATTAGAACAGCACAATATGTTTCAGAAGCTCACCCTTTTCAGCCTTTTTTTTTTTTTTTCCTTCCTTTTTCTACAATCATGTACTACAGACCAGAGTCATAACCAATGTGTATTTCAGGCCCATGCACAGGTAGGAACATGGAAGATGGGTAACGTCTACTTCCCATTCTCTTCATGGAGAAGTTGCTACGTACAGAAATGAGTGGAGTTGTTTTCTCACATCCAGTCAAAGCATGACTTAACAGCCAAAAGCTCAGTAAAACAAAGCAATAGAAAAAAAAGAACACTGAGCCTTTGTTAGCCTGGTCAATGTAGGTAGGTGAAAGATGAGTTTGGACAGGGTTAGAGATTGAAATGTCATGAGCACCACATTCCAGGAGAACCAGAATTGGTTTACTGTGCTAAACTGAGGAAAGCACACACAAGCTATAACTGAACAGAAACACAGGGTAGACTGAAGTGTTTTTATAAGAAAAAAATAAAGGCCTAAGGAAAGAGTGACTCAAGACAAAAAGCTCCCAGCAGTAAAAGGAAGGTTGCAGCTTTAGCTCATTGCTTAAACCAATGTTTGAGGGGAAAAAAAAAAAAAAAAAAAAAAAAAAGCCTGGTACCAACAGAAATAGGACCCGCTCAACATACCTGCTGGTGGCAATGCATAAAGTACCGAAGGATCACATCTTCTGCAGAAAAAAGCATCCCTGCTAGTGTGCTGCTCCATCTTCTCACATGTATGAGCGTCCCCACCACCAGCACTCATTTATTTCTGTCAACAGGGTACACTTGAGCCTTCTCCTGTGAGCACTTACACCTGTTCCCTGTAAAGGTGGTGATGGTTCTCACACTCTTCTAGTGTTGTCAAGTAGTCTAGGGATCAGCTGGCCCTTTATGAGCCATGGCTGGTAATTGTTCATGCCTGCTGGGTACCCCACCTGCTCAGCTTTGGATCTGCCCCATTCAGAGTCCAGTCCCACAGCTCCCAGCAGGGTTGGAGTGAAAAAAAACCAACAATCAATGGACCAACCAAACAACAACAACAACAAAAAACATTGCAGTGTTTGTGATTAAGAGAGATGGAAATTTTTTGCAGCTGTCAGTCCAAATATACCTGCCTTGCTTGGTCTTGTGATCTGTGTTGCTTGATCTTATGGAGTCTGTAGTGGTGGATGAGAATGTGGCTTGGGAATAAGCATGGGTGTGTTGAAAAAACTAATGAAGCTAAAAACTTTTACACATTTCAGACAAAAAATGCAAGAAAAAGAGATTTCTGGAAGAGGTTCTTTTTGTTTTTGAATTTATTTTTCTTTAAATGAATGTATTTTAATCTAGCAACTTTCTGTATGAAGGCATAGACCCCTTCCGTTGTGCAGATCAATGCGGCTTGTTCTAAGATATTGTTTTGATCAGAGATGAATTTGTACAGGTGTAACTCTTCTCATCCCAGTGTAAATACTCCTGATATGCACCTTTCAACAATATGATGAAGCCTGAGCTGATGAAGTCCTCAGTTTCTTTGTTGGCTTTAGAAAACGTTGTAAACAGCTTTGCTTGGTTCTAACAGAATAGGGACGTGCAGCAGAGTTCTTTTAATGCATGTTTATTATGATATGCAGTCCTGAAATGCACGCCCCAGTGTAAATAGCCACTCCTTCAAACAAACTGGAAAATCTGAGAGGGTATAGGACAGAAAAACTGAGAGGGTATAGGACAGTAGTAGAGCACGTAGATGAATGTGCTGCACTTAGTTCGTGTAAGCTTAAGGTAAATTAAATAATTCAGCTGAACGACAAACTCAGTGTTTTATTCAGAAGGAAGAAAATGAGGGGTGGTTAAAGCTGGCATCAGGGTGATGTAGAAGTTCCTAAGGAAAGGAGAGGAAAAAAAACAACATCAGGGATGTTCATAGTGGAAAGAAGGAGGTGTGAAACACCGGAACCTCAGAGAAAAATCAGATTTAGGTACGCAGGAGTCAGATCTCTGGTTTGAGGAAAAAATGCAGTTATAACAATGCCATCAGAAGGGCTTGGACAAAGCTGGAGAACAACTGAAACTAAGGCATGAAGAAAGGAGAGTGGTTAAATACCAAGACACAATCAGATATCACTTAAATGTGATGTTAGTTTTTGGATCACTAATGTAGAAAATACTTAGGAAATAAACAGGTATACGAAGGCAAAAGAAGATTTCATTACAGGGCATTTGCAGAGCACTCATTGGTTTCAGTGGAGAAAGCATTCAGGTTATTTGCCTTAGTCTGAGGCTCCACAAAACGTTAAGACTTGCAGTTTGTGCTCCCAGGGATGAACAAGGTCCTTTCCTCTGTCTAGTTTAGCCCATCTGTTTTAAGGAATCAGAGTATTAAACAGGGTTTTCTCTCTGTTGGATTACAAAAAGAAAAAAGGTTGATATAGAGTCAAATCAATGGTACTATTTTGCCTTGCTTGTTCTTCTGTACTTGAGAAATAGTGGGGAAGCTTGACGTTGTCGGATGTCTGGAGACGTCCGTCATAAGCTGGGGAGGGATGGAACTTGTAGTCTTAACTCTGGTGACAAATAGAATTGAATCCATAACAAGAGGAGGAAATCCTTGCAGGTTTTTATTTCCAGACGTTCATTCAAACATTTGAGTTAAATGGTGTTAGCATAGAAAACAAAAAGAGCTTAAAATGGTCTAACCAAAATCACTCTTAATCAGGTTTTGTTTCCATGGCACCTTTGATGTCATAAGCTTAATAGCTCCCCAGTGATCCATAGAGTCTTCCAGGAAAAAAAAAAAAAAAAAGGCTAGACAACCTGAATGCCAAATGTTGAACACATGCTTAAAAATATCCTTTCCGAAAAGTTTTCAGGCCTCCCTTCTCTTTTAAGAATTAAGGGAAACCAAAAATCAAACCAGGAATTCCCCACAAACACCCACCCACCCTGCGCATCGCCGGAAATCTGTGCACGGCGGTTTGAGTGCATGGAGCCCTACAGATATGATATTAAACTGCAAAGGAAATGCATAAATAGGCTGTTATAAAAATAGCTGTAAAACACTTTTTTTTTCTTTTTCCTTTTTTTTTTTTTTTTCTTTCATTCTACAGATGCAAAATTTCAAGAAACATTTTTCTGTCAAAACTGAAACAGATTGTGGTGTTCAGCAGCACATTTCTTTGCTAGGGAAACATTCTTGGTGCAGTGTTTTTGCTATTCGTCTCATGTTTTTTCCAAGGATTTTCTAATTAATCATGGTGCTGATGGATGATGGCTGTCCTACTATGGCTGCTATTAACACACACAAGTCTTGCCAGAGGTAAAGTAGATGTAATTTGCTTTTATTTAAAAGCTTTTGCTCAATGATGTTTTTATGGCCTGATCTGGCATTTGTGGTCAAGCAACATTCCCAGACCCTTCTGCCTTCAGGATCCTTATCCAATTCTGTAAGAGCTTTGCTTCTCTTCTGCTTTTCTGGTCACTGCTCACTGGCTGAGCAGAGATGTATTGCTCTGCCTGGTGCTTTTGGTATGGATAGCAGAGGGTCTGAAGCTTCGGAGTGCAAGACGTGTGGAAAATTGCTGCTGGAGAACTTAAATGTCAAGACTCATACTAGAAATAAAAGCAAAATCCTAATCCGGATTGGAATCTTTGTATCATTGAAGGTATTGAATGTAATGATACACCAAATCCACCAATTTGAACGGGAAGAAGAGCCTAAAAGTTCAACTTCTTTCAAAATGGAAGTTTATAAAACACTGCTTAAGAGGTGCCAAACGTGTATGTCAAACAATACGGATATAAAATGTGATATGAACAATGAAAAAGATGCTGCTTCAAAATAAAATCCAGCAATCAAATATTCTTTTGCTAGAATAGCAAAATGAATCAACGTTCTACCTTTCCCAGGGCTGAATTCCACAATGTATATGGAGTGAGTCTGGATGGCATCAAATGAGCCAACATAGCAGCTAACTGTAATAATAACCTTTCTAGCAAAATAAATAAGCTTGTCATGTTGACATGCTTATCATATTTTTAAAAGGATATTATCTAATAAAATATCAAGTGTTACTTAAAAAGTGTGTTACCTCTCTCTATAAAAGTATTTGCACTAAAATCGCTGTGTTAGTGAATTACTCCGAACGTTTCATGTTCTAACACAGTGTGGCAGAGTCTACTACGCCTTAAATCACTTGTCTGTGTCAGATTTGGCCCCATCACACTTTCTCCAAGAAGAAATATAGTGGCTGGTCTATTTCGGTTTGCAACAATAAGTTAATAAATAAAAACACAGATTCCAAATTAGAAACAAAACTGAAGCAAAACAAGGCACACGTAATTCCAAGTGCAGTAAATACAGATTAGTTTTCTTGTTTAGGTTACTGGCTTGTTTGCCTGGCTTCTTTGTGAATGAGAAAATGAAACATACTGTACTATATTAAAATCTGGAAAAAGAATATTTTATTTTTATAATGCCTTTTTCCCTACTTGTCTTGTGTGTTTTGTATTTCGTGTGATGGGACCGATTCGTTCAGATATTTATGTGCTATTAATTGTAATTCTTTTTCGTAACAAACATCAGAACTTTGATCTCCAGGAACTTTTCCAGGTCAAGTTTTCAGATGAAACACCCAACCATCCATACACAGACCTGTGTACAAGTTTTAGTATGCTTCCATTTGTCCTTCTTTAAAACAAACTTCTCCAGACAGAAGAGACTGACAGGTGCATGAAAGACCACTTTAATCTACTCCTGCAGTCAGAGCAGATATATGAAGTGTAGCACAAACTGGAGGTACGCCTTGGAACGGTGCTTCCCAGAGTACTGCTGAGTATGAGAACATTCTCAGTAATGAGTTCAGAAGAGAAGGATGGTGAAAAACAATATTAATCTGTGCGGCTGCTGTAGGGAAGAATTGACAGCTGAGCTTGGTGGATGCTGGTTGCTGATACGCTGACAGGCAGTGCTGGGTATGGCATCTACAGGTCACCGCCAAGCAGAGCACACCCCACCACTCAGCTCATATAAGCACATACACCATCGATCTTGTGCAGTTGTTGTACCTGCCTTTTGTCTGGAAAATGAGTCGCTGATTAAAGACAGGGGCTGGGAACTGTAGGGGTCCACGACTGCAGCAAATGGGAACCGCAGATTCTTCGTGTTGTTATAATCCCTGCTCACACCCCTACGTCACACGCTGCCTTGTACTAACATTTAATTTTGTCTGTGATTGGAAATGGAATGCAATCTTTAAAAGAAAAACGGCTCTTACTAAAGGCTGTTAACTTTTCCATCCTGAAAATAATATTCTCCTCCTTTCTTCTAATTAGGCATAATTCCTCCTTCCTCAGATTTGTCTCTCTCTCCCATGTTCTTTTCCTCTTATGACTAACAGGTTTCAGGAATGAACTTCAGACGCGTCTGAAAGAAAAAAATCTCTTCCAGGATGGCTATTTTTCCATTAACTCCTACAATTATATACAGCAGGCAGTTCAGAAAATTGGTCATAAGAAACACACTGCTCCGTCTCCACATTACCCTTTCAGCTGCAGCTCCAGGTAGCAATCAGTGTCAGCATAGCAGCAGACTTCAGCCAGCACCACTTCCTTCAGGATCCATCCTTGCAGCACGAATTCACCCTCACCAAAAGAAGACGTCCTTAACCAGCTCACCACTGTTCTCCATTCTTGGTCAAGACCATTGTTAGTTAGTTGTTTGGATTCTTTTTTTCCTTACCAGAATATTGCTTTCCCTCAAATCCGTCCTCTCTTTGCTTCACACATGTAACAGCTCTTTTCTTTACCACAGTGTGCTTCTACTGAGGAGCCCAGCTCAGCCTAGAGCAATAGGTTACC